GGTTTATTTGAGAAAAATTTGTATTACCCATTGGACTTGACCACACTACTATTGAGTAGTCCATTAACTCGACTATTTAATTTTGTTTTATAGCTAATGATAGACGAAACACTAGAAAAAAACACTATCGTTTTTCGAAGGTATGAAGACCAAAATGGTGTGGCCTTTTGTGTGGTCGCAGTCTCCTTTCGTTGTATAAAAGTTGTTTGACCTTGTTTTTGCAACTTGGTTATATTGGTAGGAAGACTTAGAGGAACGCACCTAGTCCGGAGTCCATTGTATGCATCATCATTCAGAGTAGGACCGTGGATATGGTACATTCCCAGACGTTTCGCCAGCATCGTAGTCGGCATTGTCAGTGAGTCTCGCCATTCTTAGCACCATATTACAACTCGTCAAAGGAGCACACCACACTATCTAAATAAATACGGTTAAAATTGTAATAGTGAAGGCATGATAGGATGCAACCGGAAATGCGAATAACCCAGGGCAGAAAGGGTTTAGCACAAGTATGGTCAAAGGATCGGCTTCACTTGTTTCTTTGAAGAGTTGTTGTGTGGTGCTAAAAATAGCGATACTCACTAATGATTCCCACTACGATGCCGGCGAAACGTTTGTGAATGAACCACGTCTACGGTTCAACTTTGGAAATGATCATGCAGACAATGGACCCCGGACTAGGTGCATTTCAATAATTCTTCCTATACTATCGTTTTTCGTTTATTCTTCCTATGCATTTGGCTAGCATTATGCCTGTGTTTATATTGTTAAGGCTTCTGTTCAACAAGTAGATCTTGGATAAGAACTATTTACTCTAGGCTACATAAGGCGATGAAGGATCGATAGTTTAATTTGTTTAGCAATGATCTGAGTAAACCTCACAATCCCGTTGAATTTCACTTAGCCTTGCTTTAAAAATGGTATTTTTCACCCAAGGCTAGATCGCCTAGATCTCCACCCAGTGGAAATCGAACCCGGGTAGTATAGCGCTTATTTTCTACATGTTGTGACTACATCACTCGGCCACGAAGACCAGCGAGTTATAAGGCAGACGTGGCTTTCAGCGGGAGTGTCGATGAAACATACTAAATAGGTCTCATATCACTTCAAGCTAACTTCGACTTCCACCATTCTCTACTCTTATCCTATCTTAAAGGCATTCACTTTGCCGGTCTCTATTAAACGATTTTTTATCAATTCATCCTTTTTATACATTCCATTTCAATCTTGGCTCTGTTTCAATCTTCCCTTAGCTCTGATATCCATATCTTCATCAATTTTATCCCATTTGTCTAAATTTTAATGCATTCCTTTATGTCATTATTTCACTCAAAAGCACTATACCTCACTCTAGTCAATATTTCATTCACAAATTACGCTCTACCTTGGTTCTTCTTTGGTATATAACTTTAATTTCCTACTTTTCCATCCTTCAGCAACTATTCGAGCTGCTCAAGCATGTGACTCGGCCGTTTTAGTGCCAAAGGGTGTCGATGACTTCCCTCCGGCTCGCGGAATTCAAATGAGGGGGACTGTGGACGTGTGGTGCATTGTTCATGATGGCGGTCTTCTCCTTCTGCTTGCTTATCTATTATTGCGCAACCGGACCTGGTGCAAGTGTTCCTTGCGTATTTATGTAGTCGCCAGCGAGGCGGACAATAACGTGATTCTGGAGAAAGATATGACTCGTTTCGTCTACGACCTGCGCATAAACGCCAAAGTCAGTGTTGTAGAGATGGTGAGTCATCTGGCTGTGAACTTCTATCCTTCTTATGTATGAAGACCAGGATTGTGTGGCCTTTTGTATGGTCGCTGTATTCTTTCGGTCAACCAACTAGATGAGAAATGGACTTACAGGTCCATGAGGCAGATCCGTACAGGAGACTAGAGCAGGATCAGCCAGTCGAAAGGGAGGGGAGCAAGTGTGATGACGCCACTGTAAATTCGTCAAAAGGGCACATCTCTTGTGGATTTCAAACATGTCAGGGGTTGTGATAGAATGAGGGCAAGACTAGAGAGTAGAAAATGGATAGAGGGATTAGGACAAAACAAGGAGTGATAGCATAACCGTCTCGACATAAAGTTGGTCAAGGGATTGACTTCACTTGTCTCTGATGAGTTGTAGCTTGGTTGCTGAGACTGGCAAGACTCACTAACGATGCCGGCAAACGTCTTGGAATGTACAAATCCACGGTCGGACTCTGGGTATGATCATGCATACTATGGACTCCGGACAAGGTGTGTTCCTCTACGTCTTCCTACTTTATTCTTCTACTTTACTATTTTTCATTGCTTTCTTCTCTAAATCGTTGCATAGCCATGTTATCCTATGGCAAAGCTTTTCTAACAGAATTTGTGAGTTTGACCTATCTCTCTTCCCCCTGCCTTGGCCAAACTAAAATTTCACCTTGCAGGTAAGCAATTATTCTATGAACAGTTGATCATCCTATGTGATAGAGAGGATAATTCCTTATTTTGTGCCTTCGCAAAAACGGTTATTTTGACATTTAATTTACCTTTTTCTGATCTGTAGCAAATTATGCGGCAAAGCGAACTTTCTTAATTCATCGTAGGCATCTGGAATACCATTCACTCATACAATAAGGGTTTATTAAATTGTAATACAGCTTAGAATATATTTCGTCGAATTTAAGGGCAATCAACAAATATTGTGCTTTTAAACCGAACCTAATCAAAACAAGTAGGACCAAAACATTTATGGGTTGGCACACAAGAGACTAGGCATAGGAATTCATAGACTTGGCACTATGGATAGGAGCATGATAGATACGGCGGTATTTCCAGCACAATGATGAAGGAGGGGTAAGAACACCAGCGGGGAGTGTGGAGGGTTCTCATGAAAGCCTCTTAAAAGGGCACACCACATCGCACGGTAAAAATTGTAATAGTGAAGGCGTGATACGA